CAAAGGAGTATCACCCATACACGAAATAGTTACAAGTCAATCAAGTGGTCCATGAGTACATCAAAAACTTTCCAATTTTTGATGTCATGACCCAACAAACTAGAATCAAATGTTCTATATCTCTAATTTTTATAAAATTAGTCTTTATACTCTCAAATGTTCTCGCATTCCTTTCCTTTCACACCACCCAAAAAATAGTAAGTGGAATAAGAAATAAAGTGGTCCATGAGTACATCAAAGTCTTTCCAATTTTTGATGTCATGACCCAACAAACTAGAGTCAAATATTCTATATCTCTAATTTTTATAAAATTAGTCTCTATACCCTCAAATGTTCTCGCATTCCTTTCCTTTCACACCACCCAAAAAGTAGTAAGTGGAATAAGAAATAAATGACCTTTCTTTTTACAAAAACCTGCCTATGCCCACAGCTCACTACTCATACTACCAGCCATAACCTAATTTAACCCTAACAGCCCAAAAATAGAGGCCTAAATGCTGTATGTCACTAGGCAAGTCAATAATAAGTGGTTGCATGTTTTCTCATCAGCATGGCATAAATAACATCTACTAACCAAAGTGTTACCCTTCCTTTTTAGCATGTCAATAGTCAATATGCATTCATTTGCCGTAATAAATATTACACACAGATAATTTTAAACTAAAAAGGTAATAATCATTATTTTAGTAATTTTACAAAATTTTCACTTAAGCTCTAATATTACCAAACATTTGACAGTTTGTTAGTCTAAAAGCTAAATTAAAAGAATAATCCAAACATTTCCATGCTTCAAGCACTACAAGCTTAAAAGCTCATTGGAGCTAAAAGCCTTATGCACTTTTTTTTTTAAATATAAAAAAAAGTAATCCAACACCTTGTTAGATTAATGAATGAAAAAATAAAAACGTTTGATTTCACTACATGCTAATATGAGTAGTCACACCATTTTTTTCCATAAAGAAGTTTTAATAAAATCTCGTATGGGAAAGATTCATAATCTAATAGCCACAAATCAGCATGTACACTTAGTGCTACCTGGGCATGAGATAAAATTCTTCTATTAGGTCTCGTACCACTTTCCTCTTGATGCGAATCTTTTGGAAGAAAGTCCCAATAGTCGGCAGGCAATGCTTCTTTTCGTCGCTTCTGAAACTTTCTTAGAACGTTTTCATTCACTTCCACCATAATCGCACTTAGTCTAAAAATATCTTCCGACAAAACTTTGAATTTCATTGGTGGATACCAATTCAACGAATTCCCCTGTATGGCATGAATCACTAGTACGAAAAATAGATACTTAAAAAAAGGAAGAAAACTAAATAGGAATAAGCCCAACTTACAACACAATATTTGCAACCTTTAGGTTGATCTATAGATAGGGAATCAGGTCCCTGATACATGATGAGACAAAAGAATAATTAATATCACACCAGAATAAAAACCAGAAAACAAGAACTTTAGTAATTCACATCATACAAAGAAAACTAGTCTCTTAAGGACCTACGCATCATACAGACATAGATATTAAGCAAGAATCAACCACCCATTCCCAGATACTAGCAAGGAAACATTAAAGCTTTATGAAGATAGATGCTTAACATCAAATAAATTGTTTTGCTCTCAAAGCCAAATTTCAAAGATTGAAATATTCATGATGTTAAAAAAATTAGATGATTCCTTAGAACCATGGAAGGCTATTTCTAGTGTTTAAGTTTCTTTTCTACCCTTAATTCATTGGAGGGTAGGGAATTGTTCTCGTTTTCTCTTTCAGGAGGACCCATGAATTGACAATGTCTGTCCAGCTTCCTGTTTCCCTAGATTTCAGAGATTATTCAAAAATCATCATTCTCCTATATCCTCCTTTTCGGTTTGATCTGATAAATCCCTTTTTCTCAGGTTTATGCTCTTATAAGTCTTACTTAGGCTTCTTCATTATCCTGTTACCCATAATATTTTCCTTAGAAAGTCCTTATGGAAAGTCAGCTCCATATAATACATAAGTTTTTTTTGGACTACAGTTTTTTGGGTAGGCTTAATACATATGATATGCTTCAAGCTCGCAGACCGAACTGTGTCTTGTCACCTAGGGCCTGTGTAGCGCGGTATACAGATGTGGAGACTCATGACTATCTTTTCTTGCATTGTAATGTCACTAAGGGAATCTAGGAATGAGTTTTTAGTAAATTTGGTTTCCAGTGGGCTTCCTCCAAGAATCTGGAGGTTTTCTTCCACCAATACTGAGAGGTCCGAGGATGAAGAGGGAAATAAAATCTCTAGGGTGCAGGGTTTTCTTGCTGGTATATGGGCAATGTTATTGGAAAGGAATGTAAGAACTTTTCGAGACTATCAACTCTCCAATTCTGATGACTTGAGATAAAGCTTGTTTTCCGCTTCTCTTTGGGCTGAGTCCAATAGATATTTTAAGGATATAGTTTACCAATTTTGTAGACGACTCACTATTCTTTCCAGTGACCAGCTAGTCTTTCACTTTCCCTCCTTTTTTCATTTTCCGTTTAAAGGATACCTAATCCTCCTTATTTCTACTTTCTCTTCTCTTAATAATCTCTCTCCTTTTTCTATTAATAAATAAATAAATAGACAACCCCTGTAGTGAGAGAGAGAAAGATGACAAGCCAAGAAGCAATCACATAGCTGAAATGCTTCTCAGACTAATTTAGAGAGAATTTTTAACTCTTTTCCCCTATCATTGAGGGGAATTACTATACTCCAAACAGTTCGCCTTTTATATTTTAATCATCAGCTCTTCAACAACCTAATTGCAGTATAGACTAGTGAAAATTCTTAATTACATTGGTAAAAATTCATCAGGATACACCTTATATATATATATATATATACATAATTTATGGTTCTATTAACTCTTTGAAAGAAACATCGTAAAATTCAACAGAGCACTATCTAAGAAATGTGTTTATAGATTGACATGAGAGCTTAAAGTAATGAATATTGCTAAAACATGGACCCAGATACTGCCCTGAAGATACGACCAGTAAGTAGAATGTTCAAACATGAGTCAATTTGTCCTTTTTTTCCCCTAATATTGCATTTGTTTGAAATGGCCAATGAAGGAATTTGTGGATAATATGGAACTTGTGGAACAGTGGATAGATAAACTGGTTCCAACAAATGCTTTCCTTTTCAATAGAAAATTGGATTCCTACCAATATGTAACTTATTTACCACCATGTGCCAGAGCACTATCTAAGAAATGTATTTATATCTTGACCTGAGAGCTTGAAGTAATGAATATTACTAAAACATGAACCCAGATACTGTCCTGAAGATAAGACCAGTAAGTAGATTGTTCGAACATGAATCAATTTGTCCTTTTTTCCCCCTAATATCGCATTTGTTTGAAATGGCCAATGAAGGAATTTGTGGATAATATGGACTTGTTGAACAGTGGATAGATAAACTGATTCCAACAAATGCTTTCCTTCTCAATAGAAAATTGGATTCCTACCAATTTGTTACTTATTTACCACTATGTGCCAACTAAACTCATCCGTAAAGGTTAGCTCTGGCTTAATCAAACTCTATAGACTGCCATTGCATCTATTCTTGAAATACGGATGAGCTGAAAAGCACTGTGGCAAGTTAAAACTGATGAGCAAATTCCCAGCTGAAGATTTCCACAGGTAAAATGGCTGGATCATGAGGCTACTGGACGGCCAGCCTAAGATCCATAGCCTCAGAAAGTAGATAGATCGCAAGCAATGAAAACGGAAGATCCTCAAGCAAATCTGTTTCAAAGAAAAAGACAGAGTCCATGAACAAACTATTACTATGAGCTTAGAGTAGTAAACAAGAGGATCCATGAAGTTTGAGCCAGCTATGGAGGTGATTTCATGAAAAACTACTAAGTCAGGAAGAGCAAAAGCAGAGATTGTGATAAAAGTTCTAAATAGATTTAACATAAGATCAAAGAAATATCCGAAGCAATGAAAAAGCTTCTCATAACTTGACACAAGCTATACCAGAAAATCAGTATACTTCCAACCAGGCAACCAGGAATGCACAGAATAAAAACTTCTTAAAAAGTTTTCATCAGACAACAATCTTAATTCAACATTTTGTGTTAGATACCTGACCTTGATCCATAGATCTTCCCGAAGAGATTTACATGCTGGGCAAACCTTATTCAGAATTTGTACAACTTCCGACAGATAATATGGATGGAGTATTGTGTACGGAAATTGAATAACTCCAAAATGGCCTAAAATTTTGATAATGAAATTAGGAATACTGGAAACTAGCAAAATTCTTACTAAAACAAAGACCAGGAACTTAATAGGTAAATTTATATTATGCAAGTTCTCAACCCATACCTTCACAGTGTTTTAAATCTTTGGCACCACATGTCAAGCACTCAGATGATGGATTTGGGAGCCCCAGCTTAGGATCAGTGACCTCACTGGCAACACAAATTTTTTCTAGACATACTTTCTCCTGTTACAGCAACAGGTCAATAATATTGTTAGTTGTTATTGAAAATTATTCAAATTGAATTAGATTTCAAACCCAAAAACCACAGTATTTTTTTACATCCATGAACCGAGCAAGATCCACAATGCCATTTTAGTTTATTGTTTAAAATGAAAGCAGCCAACATATAAGAAGAGCCATAAAAAAGACAACAAATAGGAAAGAGAAAAAATTAAAAGAAATGAGAAATTAGGTCTCTATTTAGGAGAGGGCAAGAGAGGGAGGGAGGGGGGGAGGAAAGAAAAAAAAAAATTTGTCCTTTACACCCAAATTGGTTATTATTTCTTTTATTGAAGTAAATTCCAAACAATATGTCCCAACTAAACTATTTTTGTGCTGCAAGTACCAATAGTCCACATTCCCTTTCCTTCACCTCCACTCAAATGAGGAAAGAGTGGTAAGGGTCATTGGTGACATCAGATATTGAATCATTAAGTTAAGAGGACTATTCATCGAATTTATGGGGATTCAATGACTCTAAGTTGTGCTTAAAAAAAAAGACTCTACAAAGTAAGTTGTGACCAAAATAAGTGTTTAGCCAAAATGGAACCTGGATGTGGTGTGGTTTCAAGAGTCAAAATGGAAGCTTTCTCTGATGTTTTGGCTCCTAAGGTGCAGTTAGTTAAGAGTGTCGGATTGAGGGACCTTTATTTTAGGGGCATGGGAGGAGATAGGGTTCATTTTTTGGGATGACAAAGTCATGGAATTTGTGGATTGGTGCAGGAGAAAAGACTCAATATCAGCTATATTGAGGTGAAGGGGATCAGAGTGGTCTTTGCTCTTCTGCAAGGTCTATGGAAGAGGGGAAGGCTTGGGAGATTTTAACATGATTGTTCATGCTAACAAGAGAGAAGTCAAAAGGCAGTTCCTGTGTATGCTCGAAGGAGTTTAGGGATGGACAGATATGAGGAAAAGTGTACCTGGTCCTTGTTTTCTCTTGTTTTGACTCTCAAGTTTCCATTTAGGTACAGAGATTATTGTCAACAAGTTTTCCCTATATGTCTGAAGGTAATATTATTAAATAGGGGCCTTCCTTCCACTCTGAAGATAAATGTAGTAGGGTCCCAGGGTTCAGGGATTTATTTTAGCCCCGGAGAAGAGAAATAAGTGGTAGGTCATTCTAGTTTCAAAATTGCAGACAAAATCCATATCAAGAGATTGATTAACATTTGGAGTAGGGAAGTGTTTTGGAAGAGAAAGGTTAAAAAGTTTTGAGTTGATAGGTTCACTAGGTCAACTTGACAGGTTGGAAGAGAAGAGAGCTTTTTTAAAAGAAGAAGTGTGAAATTTCCAGGTGGTGTTTATAATCAAGAGAGAAGGGGGAAAAAAAGGAGCATGAGGCCCATGGAAGCAGCAAAAGAAAGGAGTTTGAATCCATGGTTGGTAGCTTCTTTAAGGAACTAATAAGAGTTAAAATTATTTAAGGATTACTATTAAGTAAGAGTTAGAATTATTTAAGGATTTCTATGAAGTGTTTAGATTTGCAATTGGAAAAAAGTAGGACTATAACTCCCAAACCTATAATTAGATTTTGATTAGGATTTGGGATAAATTTAGTACAATGATTACGAGAACTGTAAAAGTGATCTAATTAATTAAACTACCTTATAAATACACCTATTATCATGAATAAAATCATCATACTATTAATTCAAAGAATTTCTCTCTAGAAGATTAGAGGCTCTTAGATCATTAGCCAGCAAGACTGGAAAACCATGAAGCAAGCAGCTCTGCTCTAGGATTTCATACTAGCAAGCCCCATGACCAGATCAAAAGCACGCAATCGTGACAAATTAGTACAGTCAGTGCTCATACAAGAGGATCGCGCCCACTCGGAAAAGAGGCAGGGTGGACTCACCATTCAGTTTGAAAGTTTATCCCAGAAATTGTTGACCACAAGGAAAGAGACTGCCAAAACCACCAGCTCAACAAAAAGAAAAACAAGAAGCAAGCTGACTCCAGCACCAATACATAAAGGGGAACTATGGTGCCACGGATCGCAAGGTTGGACTTTCCTCCCTATGAAGGCTCAGTTGATCTGCTGGAGTGGGTTAACAAATGCGAGCACTTCTTATGACACCAAAGGACGGTCGAAAAAGGTCAGGTGGGAGTATCTTTTCACCTTAAAGATGATATCCAACTATGGTTCTTAAAGTTGGAGCAAGACCGATTGAAACTCTTGGGAAGAATTAAAACCTACTGCAACCGTAGATTCGGCCCATCAATACACAAAAACAAATTGGGAGAACCGGTTGAATTGAAGCAGTAGCAGACAGTTGCTGAGTACCAGCAGCATCTCGAGCAACTTTGCACACATGTACCAGCCCTCATACTAAACAAGAAGTTCATATCTTCATCAGTAGCCTTCAAGAATATATGATTGTCAAAGTTGAGCTACAACAACCACCTAAGTCACTACTACTATGAGTTTGGCAACGTTCTATGAGAGGAGAGGCAAGTAAAGAAAACCAGAGAACACAAACAACTAGCGAGCGTCCAATGTGCCGCATTTTATCAAAAAATTGAATAGTGACTAGATGGAAGACAAGAGAAAGAAGGGTCTTTGTTTCAACTGTCATGAATCGTTTATCATAGGACATTGTAAAAAGCTATTTTGGTTGAAATTTGAGAAAGATGAGGAGGAAACAAGGGATGAAAGAACATTCCATTTTGGCACTTGCAGACAAGCTTCAATTCTATGAGGGGAGAAATATTACAACGAGGAAAAAAGCACGGCATTGGTGAAGTGACCAATCAAGATTTGCCACCAAGGAAAACAAGACCCTAGTTGTGTTTAGCGTGGCAACTAGGGTAAGTTTCTCCGGATAGTCAATACTATATGATTTTGTGAACCCTTTGCAACTACTTGAGCCTTTAACCTATTAACATTCCCATTAGCTTTGTATTTCACAATGAAGACCCACTCACATCTTTCTTCTTGTTTCCCTTCCGTTAGTTTAGTGAGTTTCCAAGTGCCACTTTTCTTTAACTCATTTCTTCCTCGATAGCTATATTCCAATCAAGGATACTCACGGCTTCCTGAATTGCCTTGAGAGCAAAAGTATTACCTAGATTTGCAACAAATGCCTTAAACTTAGGTGATAACTTTTTATATGACACAAAATAATATAATAGATGGCTTATGCAAGATTTTATCATTTATTGCCTCACGTACCACGGGTTCGGATAATATACTGGAACCCTTGTTTAAGGTTGATTCATTGAAGTAGTGGACATATATAAAGTACATATGAATCCACTATCTAGCTTTCCTTCGATGAAATATCTGTCTACTTTAATGTGTTTAATTTTGTCATATTGTACTAAATTGTGAGCAATACTAACTGTAAATTTATTATCACAGTATAGTCTTATAGGTCCATTCCTTGAATTTCCAAGTCTTCTACACCATAGAAACTCACACGCCCTTTGTGTCATAGCTCCAAACTCTAATTTTGAACTAAATTAGGCTACCACATTCTCCTTCTTACTTCTCCAAGTCACTAGATTCCTTCGAAAAAAGGTACAATATCCATAAATGAATCTCATGTCAATTAGTGAACCTACATAGCCCACATCATTGTCCGCTTCAAGAAACAACTCATTATTTCTTTTGAATGTAATTCTCTTCCCCAGAGCACTCTATACACAGTTTGTAGGTGCACTTTTTTTGAACTTGTACATGAATTGACTAATTATACGAACTACATGTGCAATATTTGACCTAATCTATTACAAATATATCAACTTCCCAACTAGTCTCTGGTACATCTGTGTCTTCTTTTGTCAATCCCAGTTTATGGTTGGATAATGGATATGCAAGCAAGCTTGCATGCTAGTTTACCAGTTTCTTTCAAACGGTTCTTAACATATTTTTGTTGTGATATGAATATTCCAGACTTTGAGTGGGCTACCTCTATCCCTAAATATTTTAATTTTCTCAATTCTTCAATCTCGAATCCTCTATCCAGGCATTGCTTGAAAATCAGCTTTTCTCCTTTATCATTTCCTAACAATCATATCATTACATATGCCAGGAGGGTTGTGAATCTCTCTTACTTTTCTCCTTTGTCATTTCTTAACCCTTACTTTGAGCATTTAATTTACAAGCCGTAATCTATCTTACTCCGCCCGCATTCTATTCATGGTATTACCTTTGCAAATCTCCCAAACCATGCTCAAAGGATTTGTTTTAGCATATATTGCGCCTTGATGGTACCAGTTCAAGTACCTTATTCATTCCTACTACCCTAGCAAACTTGGGGGGAGTTTCCATGTAAGTTTTTTCTAATTTTCCATACAAAAAAATATTTTTTACATCAAACTGCTGCAATTATCAATTGAAGTTAACTGCTAAATACAGGAGGATATGTACTGTTTCTTTTATAATAAGTGCAAATGTCTCTTGACAGTCAATCTCGAATCTCTAGGTACACTTTTGCGCCACCAATCTTGCCTTGTACCTTTATAAAATTCTCATGGGGTTTACCATTGATAGTGAGCTCCCACTATCAAGCTTCTAGTCCATTATGGTTTAGAAGAAAGCTAAAAAAAGGGAAGGGGAGAGAAAAGGTTAGGAGAAAAGAGAAATGAGAGAATATAAGGAATGAGTGAATTCTTTTTTCATTGCCTCATGCAGATAACTATTTACATATTTATAGTGTCAATCATTAGCACAAGGACAGGTTATCATACATACTGCCAGTTCTCTCTATGAGCTAGACTAGATATTCTCCAGCATATTCCCTTAGATATTCTCCAAATATTCTCTTAGATATTCTCTAGCATATTTCCTAAGCAATATTCCTAAATTACACTACTCTTCTCTTTTATTCTATATTGGATATTCTCAAACATATTTTCTTAGATATTCTTGAAATATTCCCTTGGATATTCTCTAGCATATTCCCTAAGCAATATTCCTAAATTACTCTACTCTTCTCTTTTATTCTTGACCTTATCCC